GCCGCCGCCCGCCGGTAAGGCCCGGGGTGTGTGTGTGTGGGGGGGCGGTGTGTGTTGGTTGTAAGAAGGCTGCTTTTGCTTAGAGGTTCTCTGAAACCTTAGTGTTTTAAATGACGTGCAAATAGAGGCTTTAAAGAGCACCTGTCCTGTTAGGACAAGCTGAGAGAGTTGGCGTTATTCAGCCTGGAGAAGAGAATACTCCAGGGAGACTTTATAGCAGCCTTCCCGTACCTAAAGGGGGCCTACAGGAAAGATGGGGAGGGACTGTTATCAGGGACTGTAGTCATAGGTCGAGGGGTAATGGCTTCTAACTGGAAGAGGGTGGATTTAGATTAGATATTAGGAAGAATTTTTTCATTCTGAGGGTGGTGAGGCACTGGCACAGGTTGCCCAGAGAAGCTGTGGATGCCCCATCCCTGGAGGTGTTCAAGGCCAGGTTGGATGGGGCTTTGAGCAACCTGGTCAAGTGGAAGGTGTCCCTGCCCATAGCAGGGGGGTTGGAACTCGATGATCTTTAAGGCCCCTTCCAACCTAAACCATTCTATGATTCTGCAGCACAAAAAAAACCCCAACTAACCACCAAAGCCAACTGGAGTTCGTGGTTTGCGTTTTGCGTATGCTGTTGTTTTTTTCTAAAGGGCTCTCTTGAGCTCTGAATGGAAGATTTAAACAGGAACTTATAAAATTTAATAAAATTGTCAGTTATAAAAATGAAAAGTGCAAAAAGTAGCAGAATGAATGGGAAACACAGTTGCTGAGTAAGTGTTGTGTAGGAGTTTGAGAACTGCTCTCAGTTCCTCCCCTGTGCTTTCTCATATTACTTCAAAATTATTTTATTTCCCTCCTGTTTTGTGTTTGGTAGCTGAAAATGCAGCAATTTGATTAATCCAGGCTATCTCACTGAGGTTGTCACCAACCATTTAATTGTAAAGGATTGTGATTTTGTGTTGTAGCTGCTTGTTCTTGCAGCCTGAGTGTGCAGAGGTTAATGTTGCAGGTAACATCTGCAAAGTTACCTCCTTCATTTCTGTGATGCTCGTTCGGGTCTAGGACGTCATTGCATACATAGGAAGCATGGTAGTATAGCTGTTCCTTTCTTTCATTCTAGCATCCAGGCTCAATATGTTTTGATTCATTTAAAAGGATATTACACAGAAAGATATATTAATTAACACAAAATTGTCATTCTGTGGTTTTAAAATAGAAATGACCAATAAAGTATGTGATATACAATAATGGTTTCAACACCAGACACACACTGAGTACTCTGTTGATTTTATGGTATGCTGAGGTTGCTTCTGTATGTTAATCTGCAATTATGCGTGTGCTTTGACAGTTCAATTATACAAAAATTATTTAGTGTGTCTTATTAATGAGGCACGCTTATAAAGATCAAAGATGAAGTTTTAAAAAATTACCTTTGAAATTCATGCAGGTGAAAAACATCTATGTGAACGAGATGGTAATCAACATATATTGGATAACCTTGGTCAGGTTTTAATGCTGAGAATGCATATATTAGTATGCAAAACTAGTTGTCTCTTATATGAAATTCTGTAACCTTTGAAAGTACTTTTCATTTGTGGTTGCAACCTAAATCTTAAATACTGAATGCCAGTGCTGAGAACATACTTTGATTCTTAGGTAATAGAAAGTGGGCAATGCAAAACCTATTCATACCTAGAGCCAGGCTTACAGCTTTACTTTTCTTTCACCTAATTTGATAATTTGTGGAGGCTTTTATAGCTCCTTTTTTTTAATTTGGAAAAGTTGTCTGAGCTAGTTTTTATGAGAGCATTTTTGCTTTGCTGGCCTGTAGAGGGTATTACTCACTATCTATTCCTTGAGTGGTACCACAGTGGCCGTGTATCTTACCTGCCTGAAAACTTAAAACTAGTGCCCTTTCCACCCCCCAACTATTTTGTGTTACATATTGGGATGTACCTTCATATTGCTGAGACACAGGTTAGCAGAACTATCATTAACATTACACAAGAGTAGCACTGAATTTTAATTTATACTATCTCTGTAATGATATCAATATCTCGGGTCTCACTGTGGATTAGGATTTGCACCTTTAAAATAATTGTTCACATATACAATTCCATTCAGCGATACGGAGCATCAGGTGGAGGTGGCAAGTTTTTCTAAATCTAATTACTTGCTTTTATAGGTAAATAAATTAAGGTTCTGTTTAAAATGTCAGTATTTTTGCTTTGTTAGATTCCTTTTTTTTTTGTTTGTTTGAAGTATTTGGAAGGATTTTTATGTACAAGTGACTGAAAATTTTATACAACCTGGAAGATTAATATATCCTCTTCTATCTGTAGTTTTGGTTTATACTTTGAGGGAAAGCCTGAAACCCCAGAAGAATTACGTTTTTCACTGTCAATCCTGTGGTGACATCATAGTAGAAGATAGGTGAGTACTGCAGTGTCTTGTATTTATAGCAATAAATACCATAGTGATTGGTATTCATGTTATTTTGTGTACTTAGAGAGACAGCTAAAAGGCATTTATTTCGAAACTGATAAATGAGAACACTTTTGAAGCACTACGGATGACTAAAAGCAAAATTACGTGAAACAGTTTTTCACCACTTATTCATTTACTTCTTGATTTCATTCTTGCTGGGAAGTAGAAGTATGTGCAAAGAGAGTTTGGTGCATTGTCCTGGAAGCTGGGAAATCTGGATTCTTTTCCTGCTTCTCTGCTATGCCTTGAGTGAGACATTTCCTTTTGTGGCTTGACTTCCCTACATGTAAAATTTCTGCTTTGAGATCTATGGCTTTTTGTTCATACAGAATCCGTTTGCACTCATCATAATAGCTTCTGATTTTGCTGAACAAACAACGAGCTGTAACATTTTGGCGTGGATATATTGCAAATAAAATGGTTTTAGTTTGTGTTGATTTAAAAATACTCATGGTCTATTAGTAGCTAACATCTTTGCTGTGTTGAAGGGAATAAAACTGAAAATTTGAGCCTACGTTTCTTTCTTCCTTTTCGCTTCAGGAATCCTCTTCGGTTCTGCTCAGCCTCTTACAAATTCCTTTCAGTCATCGTGCTGTGGTTACAAAGTGGCTGCGCAGAATGGGGGTGTTGACCACAGCTCCCTTCTATGTGTTAAGGAAAGCCAACCTCCGCACAGTTCAGGGGTGCTGAATTAGAAAAACACAGGAGCTGTTTCTTAGTTCTGTGACTTGGCTGTATCTCTGTTCTTCACAAAGTCCGCAGAGTGAATGAAAATTTTAATAAAAAGCTGCTGCATATTTTGGCTCTTCTGATGAACAATTTTGACAGCTTCAGCCGGATATCTTCGAGTTGTTAGAGACATACTTGCAGCCTTTGATTTGTGTTACTCCTAATACTCAAAATGGTAATACAAATATGGTGTATTCTGTAAACTCCTGTTACTTTCTTGATATACATATGGATTTGTGTCTGGCTTGAATGTAACTGAATATAACTTGAATGTAATGAATGAGGATTTTCTGGCTTTCTCTTCTGAAATGTCTCATCAGAAGGTCTAGCAGTAACTCTTATTTTGGTACATTTGTAGAGTAATGAAACTTCTAATTTCTCATCAGTAACATTTGCTTTCAAAAGATACTGCACTTTTGAGTGGGTGTTTTCCTGAATTTCAGCGCACTACATTCATATGCATGGAGTTTACATCTTTTGGTTCTGCATGCTGTAACATGACACAGTCGGAATTTTTGAGAAAGGAAAAAGAAAGCACGTTCATGGCTCCTTGCTTGGCATCTCTCCTTGCAGGGAACCTCTGAGCCCCTTGAATGTTATCACTAGAAAAATATTTATCAAGACAAGGATAGAAGAATGGAGCTCCCAGTGTATCCAACACCTCCTGTTCCGGCACTTCCAAAAGGAAGACAATAGCATAGTCAGTTCTTCTAGCTATAGAATTTGTGCGTTGGTCTCTCCATAGAGAGTGAGTATGACAGTGTCTGCACAAGTGATGAGATTGAAGGGAAGTTACAGAGCTGTGTGAGGGGGAACTTACTGAAGAGTGGATTACTAGGAAAGGGTCTGTAGGAAAAAACCTGAGATCTAGAAAATGATACCTTTGAGAAGAAAGTGAAATAAATGGGATTTACTTTGGATAAGACTGTGGAGGAGACGTAAGACTCTTCTAATATGTAAGTTGCTGCAAAGAAGTTGGCAGTAGTCTTCAGTTGAAGCAAGAGGAATTTAGAATAAAATGAAAAAAAAGTAACCGAAACCTATTCTAAAGCTTATTTTTGTACTATTAGAGACTGCATAGGAAGCCATCGTTTTAAAGAATAGATTAGAGAAATATTTTAGAAATTGTTTAAATATAAGTGATCCTTCCTTGATGCAAGAAAATGGACTCTATTCATTTTCTGAAATTTCCTGGCTTAGTCTGTTTTCTTCCATGAATCTGATAGCTCTTCAGAGATTAGGGTTATGTTCTCTGATTCTTCTGTTACCCTCACATTACCCACATTAGAGAAAGTGATTACATTTTTTTTTCTTCTTCCATGATTTAAGAGCTGCAAAGAATTTGGGATACTTTCTTTTTTCTTTCTCTCCTTCCAGTTAGCCTAAGTGTAGCTCATATATCAAATAATTCTTTAAGACTTGATTTATGTCATGAAGAAATTTTTAAAGGCTGAATGGTATGAAAAATAAATTTCATAAACTGTTGAGCTGTAACTCTTTTCCCTTGTCCAAACACTAAGTATTTGTACTACATAAGTATTCTATTGAAACACTGATTGTAGGGGAAATCTTCTAATTACTCTTTTCCTACATAAATAGCTTTAAGCATGGCAATTAACTGTCAAACTAGGCTGTCCAAGATTTCATAGTAAGTAAATAACGAAGACTGCTGTTAAAGAAATTTGGTTGGATCTTTTTTCTTTCTCTTTTCTCTGATAGAACAGAAGGGTTATATGTTTAAAAGTCTAAAGTCCATTTTACTTCTAGTTCTTGGAATTTTCAGTAGATAAGATGATATTACTGGGTTCTTGAATATTAGTTGGTAATAGTGTTAGAGATTGTTTTTCTTAATCCAGTCTTATAAAGATCTCTATGGTCAAATACTTACCTTAGCATGGAAGCCCACCTAAGAATTACATCATTATGGCAGAACTCTTTTAGACTAGTGCCTACCTTCTGTTTTTTTAAAAATAAATTAATTGCCTAGGCTTCCTCTGTTTGGAGACAGAGAACTATCTCCAGAGGGAGATTCAGCCTGACTATATTAGACACTTTCGGAAGGAGACATTTTCTCTTAAAGGTCCCAACCTAAGAATCGTTTGTCTCTCTCTGACTGTGAAGGCAGCCTAGGTAGCTATCTTAAAGTAGAGACTCAGTTGTTATAAGGAACAAGTTTGGGGAGATGAGTCCCCCTGTTAAGTAGGTTTTATCACTGTATATAGCAGCCTCAAGTTAGTCAGAACTGAGTAATGTTCAAGCTTGTTTTTTTTTTGTTTTTTCTGGAAAGCTACATTTTTATTAGTGTTGTGTTTTTCCAGTTCTAGTGATCCAGAATATGGCTTCCCACCTATGAATGGCAGAAGCCTAAAACTTAATGGAAATGCTGTATTTTCTGTAGCTCAAAGTTAGGAGGAGTCTGTTTAGGAAATTCCTATTGGTTGGAGCAACTGCTTTTGTTGGGCAAGAATTCAGCATCTTGATGCACTAGACTGTGAGGGTAAAGACAGAGTAATGTAATGAAACTGGACAGCATTAGTCTGCAGTTTAAGCTAATCTTTGTCTTTGTTTCCCCTTATATGTAACACTTGAAAAAACATTGCTGAGCAATACCAGCTTTTTGTTGCTGCAGTGTAAAGAGCAGTACATAGGAATGAAAACTTTTTTTTCAGTGTGAGTTTGAGCATTTGTCCTGGTTTCAGCTGGGGCAGAGTTAATTTTCTTTCAGTTGCTGTGTTTCAGATTTGGTATGACAGGAATGTCAATAATACATATTGTTTTAGTTGTTGCTAGGTGATGTTTATACTATTGAAGGACTTTTTTCAGCTTCCTATAGAAGCTGAGAAGGAGCATAGACAGAACAATAGAATATTCCGCACCATGTACGTCATGCTCAGTGTATAAATGAGGGTTGGCCAGGGAGTGGGAATTGATGATCGCTGCTTGGGATGGGCTGGGCAACCTATCATCAGGTGGTGAGAGTGACTTGTGTTGTATTACTTTATCTTGTATATTCTTTTGCCGTTATTATTGTTATTTTCTTTTTCTGACTCTATTAAACTGTCTGTATCTCAACCCACAAGGTTTTTTTCCTTTCTGCTCCTTTTCTCCCTCTTCTCCCTGCCTTTCTAGGGGGTAGGGGGGGAGAACTGTGCAAGGGGCCGCATGGTCATAGCTGCTGCCTGGGGTTAAACCATGACAGTATTGGAACTAACTGTGCAAGGCTGATGAATAATCAGTCGTTAGGCCAACACCAGAATTAAGGCCTTACCACGGCAGAATTGTGGTTGTATCTCAGGCGATATATAAGACTACAGAGAGTGAAGACAGCGATGGATAGTGCTGAGGCACGATTTTATCAAGTTATGGTAAACCTGGGTCAGAGGATAAGTAATTCCAGCTTTCATCTGCAGGTGGGGCAAGCACAGTTTAAAATGTATTGTCGATCTAGAAAGAAGGAAGTTTTTAGAAACGATTTTGCTTTCACCCGCAACAGTACAAAAGGCACAAGAAACTTCAGTGGGAAAAACGGGCACCTTCAGAAAAGATTAGTCTGTGAACTGCAAGAAAGGAAGGGTGTCTAACTGTTGCCTTAGCAACTGTGTGATTATTTGTGAAGTAGCACCATAAGCAAAGCTGTATTTGCAAGCTTTAAGTAAGGAGTAGAATAAGAAACTCTATGTAAAGGTTTTGGGTGACTGCAGAAGAAATAAGGAGACAAAAGGAAAGCATTCAAGGAAACTAGGCAGAGAGCAAAAGGCACAGCTCTGCAACAAACAATCCATCTAGAAAACTGTTGGAGAGGTACACACTGTTAAAGCCATTGCCCATAGTTTTTGTAAACAGGCTGAATTTCTTTCCAGTGCAATAGTTTTCTAGAAAACACAGGTTAAAGAAAGTGTAAATATGTGGACAGTATCCATCAATACTTCTACATTCTTAATAAAATCACATGTAGTGGGACCTCAGGAACTGTAGGCAGGAAAGTACTGACCACTGACTCACAACGACCAAGCTGGCATTTATATAGCCACATGTATACATTCTAGCTTTAAGAGTATATTTTACAGCTTAAAGCAGAGGTTCCAAACCGTGGCTTATAAAGTCCTCTGGCACTATGTGTAACCAAATAAAGTAAGTTAAAAACAACACAGATAATGAAAACAGAGTCTGGTATTGCCTGGAGCAGCAGCCTGCTTTGTCTATACAGCTGCCCAGGAGAAAGGGATTTGGCTGTATGTGACTTCTGAAAGTTGAATCTGAGTCTAAATTAAGATTGCATCATCTTTTTTTTTTTTTTTTTTTTTTTTTTTTTTTTTGGTCTTCTTTATTTTAATGAAGATATTCAGTGGTATTTTTGTCAAGATTTAGCTTTTCAAAGACTGGTATCTGACTTTGAGGGACTTCAAAGGACATGCTCTCCCTTGCTGTGATAGCAGTCTGTTTCTGGTTTGTTTTTTTTTATCAATGTTTGTTGCAAGGGAACTTTATGAGAAGTAATAATAAATATAATTGCAGAATGCCCATTGTTATGTTTTTCATGACTGGGTAGAATTGTTTTATTTTTGCCATGTGATTCATTTCAAGAGAGGATTATGCCAAGTTCTGCCTTATAATCATTGGAGCTTCACTCTTGGTAAATGCTTCATCGCAAACTTGGCAGGAAACACTCAGCCATTGCTTTCTCAGAATTCATCCAAAGAAAGTGCCTTTGGCTGAAAAAAAGTCAAATGCTTCCTTTTGGAGAAAATGCCATACTTCCCCCGCTCCCCCCCTTTTTGTAAGGAGTCTAAGCTCTCTTTTAGTGTCTTAGAAAATAATATAATATATTGAAATATTTTTTTTCTTCTTCCCTCATAGGAAATTTCTGAGAGTTCTTCCTCTACCAAGCGAAAACTGGAGTGCTTTAGTTGAAGAGTGGTGTTGTCATCCTAACCCCTTTGCCAGAAGCACTTTACACCCTCAGCATGATGACTGTTTTCTTGGAGACACTTTTTTTCTGTTGAATTCAGGAAATGCATCACACGTGCTTGAATCTCCCATGTGCTGCTCAGAGACTGGACACCATGCTTCTCAGAGTGGCTCCAATTTGGTAAAGTATTTTGTTTTAATAATTCTTAAGTGAATGTATTTGGACTTTTTTCCTTGTAAAACACTTTGTCACTGGTTTATTTAACTTATGTGTATTACAGAGCTGTTTTGAAGGTCACAGGGAGTTGTTGACATTCATTATACAGAAGCCAGAAAATATTTTAAGCTATGATTTACATTTTCTAAAACATGCACCATGGTCTTGATATTGACCTAGATATGCAAGAAGAACTTCTTCCTATAAACTGAATTAAAAACTACTTAATTATATAGTGCTAAACCCAAATATTCCACCCCTCCCACCCCCCCAAAAAAAGTCCTCAGTGAAGGACATCAGAATTTAGTAAGATAACTGTAATGGGTTATGTGTTTGTCAAAGGGCAGTGGAGTGAAGAATGAGGAGTAAACTGGAGTAACAGTGCTTTTTCTTCTTAAGCTATGATTGAATACATGACCATAAATATGATCCAAGGAAGGTGTGGGGGGTTTTTTGTTTATTTTTTTACCCTTAGATAGACTTGGAAAAATCAGAATGTGTTTTGGGTTCAGATGGGACTGTCTTAAACTCTTAGAATACAGTAAGGAAATTGAGTTTGTTTGAGTGCTGTCTTTCTAGTGAAAGGGACCTGCCACCCCAGGTTATAACTCTTCATGTTGATGTTTCTGAGGTGTTTCAGGACAAGATTTATCCATCAGCTGAGTCTCTAGGACGAGGACTATCGTTTGGCTTAGAAGCGTCAAAATTTGTTGTTGCCCAGGAAAAAAAACATTTGTAGGTATGCTGATGTTTAAATGGTGAGATAAAACCCATGAAGAAAGAAAATTCAGTGCATTACTCATCTTGGAAGTCTAGCACTTGTAGACAAAAAGTTCAAGCAATAATCTTTTCTTCTACCAGAAGAACACCCAGGAACTTAGTTCACCGAAGCCTACGTTTCCATAAAGCCTTTTCTGTTAATCTGCTGCTTCTCTGTATTTGTGCTGAGGAAGGCTGGGCCTGCAGATACCATCTTTTCTGCCAATATCATGTATTAAACCTAACTACTGAAATCCTTCTTCAGTTACGGGAACCGTTGCTGCCTTGGCAACTTGTGTCTGTAACAGCTGATGACTTGCTATGTGCAGATTCCCAACATGAAACTTTTAATCTGTTGCGAAGTAACACCAGAGGCCCTGATTCCTGTCTGCTGCTGCTGCTTATCATCATTAGGGATTTGTATTATCCCCAGTTAAATCACCAGGATTCTCGCAGTTCAGCAGTTGCTGGTGCAGTGCATCCAGGCAAGCCATCTGCTTGGGAAACAGTTCTGTCCTACGGTCCATATCTGCAAGTCTTGCAGCTGTGGTCCCTTTGCGGTTCCATTGTTCTTTGAAAAGCAGAATATGGGGAGGGGAAGAATAAGAACCAATACCTTGAAAGGATATCAGCATGGGAGAAGCAGATTAATTTGGATTAACTCTGTGGCAGTTGGAGTAATTTCTTTTAAGTATCGTTAAGAAGGAGGCTGAGCAGAAGATTCTGAATTTCCAAGAGGACAATGCTTTCTGCCAGAGGTCCCCAAAATTAATTATCTCACATTTCAGTAGTCTCAAAAGAGATCATAGAACAACGGGAACAAAGCTGGGAAGAGGCAGGGTGCATGGAGTTCATATTGCAGCCCAAAGACAGGGGAGCACTCTGCCCAACACACTTCTTCGATCAATCAAAGAGAATGTTTGCCAGAAAAGGGTTGTTTTTGAGTTAGAAACATGATAAAAGGATGTGGGACAAAGATGTTACTGAGATGTGGGTCAAACCAGGATAACAGCAGAACTTTTGAATGAGGGAGGAGGTTATTTTCTGTCAGAGGCATACAATAGTAGTTTAGTGTGATGAATTTTCCTGTTTGCTTCCTTAAACTTGCATTGAAGTTGAGAATTCTTTCCTTGTTTGTATCAAATCCCTCTTTCTCTACATCTTTCATACTTGCAATAAATTCTCATTTTTGTGTTTGCTTATTTCCAGTATCACTCGGTTGCCAAGCAAATGAGTAAAACTCTAAGATCCAGGAGAAACTGGACTAATAAGGAAAAAACCCCTCATACTGAAACAGAAAATTCTTCCATAATATGAGTAATAGAAAGTTACAGGCAAGATAGATTGCTATTGGCATAAATGTTCTCATTTCAGAGAATATTGTTGCAGTCTGCCCCAGTATGAAAGTTCTTTTTTAATTGCATTGCAGTTCTTTGGAAAGTGTTTGCCTATGACCAAAATAGTAGCAGGAATTTACCAGAGATGCTTAAACAATCTTTTCCAGCCTCCAGTGGGACCAAGACAGCATTCGTTCATTGAAAACATATTTCTCACATCTATTAGTCTTCTGGTGTAACATAGTTTTTAAATGTCACATGGTCTTGCAGCATCCTAATAGTATCTCTTGGGGAAAATAGTTTCCCTGACACTGTATCAGGGGTCCTTAGGAATAGAAACAGAAAATATTAGGCTGGTGATCCACCTCCATCTGCAGATCGCCAGCAGCTGCAAGTTGTCAAATAGATATATTGATTTAATTAGTCTAGCTAAAACTATCGCTTTTTCCATTGAAGCATGATACGAGTTAGTGGTGTTTTTTAGGTGCCATACTGCACAGTTCTCAGCTAGCACCTGTAAGTGCAGTCAGAAAAAAACATTCAAGTTGTAGCTTTCAAGGAAGTACCATCTATTATGTACTTGTACTGTGCAATATTTGTACCAACCTCAAATACTGGTTTTCACAAAGCCCTGTCCACTTATTCTTGCTCTTCACATTAAGCAAGTAACCTTACTGTGTATGCTCGAGAGAAGTCGCAAGGTAGGAATTTGGAGATGGGATAACTGCTTATATATGAACTATATGTTGTTTCTGATCTCCATAGCAAGGGGACTGTACTTCCAACATAGTCAGCTCTCTGAAGCTTTAACAGAAGCTGTTGGGCTCTCCCTGGGGCTTTTAGTTGGATTCCTGGTTTGTGAGGAACAAGCAGGACTTTGTGATCATAAGTTCAGATTCCAGGTGGGACGCTTTCTGGTTTTTGTGGAGCTAGAGTGGTCCTTTCTGTTCATTTTATTATTTGCGTAGTACAGATCAGAGAGTTCTGTTAGGTATTTCCAACATCAAATCCATCAGTTGTGCCTGAGCTATAGCTTTGAGAAAGACATCCAATATTTATTAAATACTTCAAGTGATAGAAGCTTTATCACATTCCTTGGTAAGCTGTTTGAGTGGTTAATCATCCTGACTCTGCTGCCTTCTTATTAAATTAAGCACACTAAGAATTACAACTCTGTATCTTTTTTTATCTCTGAAATGTATTTATTTTCTAGAAATTATTTTTGTAGCAGTTTTCCAAACCCTTTTCCAACTTTTTAACATACTTCATAGATCCTTTTTTTGCAGTAATCATCTCACTAATTCTGAAGATGTTACATTTTTCTGTTTATCTGTTTCAACTACTCAGTTGTTCATGCACTCAGAGATCATATTTGCCCTTTCTTTTGTAGCATCTCATTAGTAACTCTGGTTTGGTTTGCTACCATAGTCTAAATTCTTTTGATTTTTTTGCTGTCTTCCACTATGTATTCCTTTATTTTATCATCACTAGTTTTGTTGTTGCTGTTGTTCCTGAATATATGATCGGGCATTTGGCTGTGTTTTAGTGCAGAATGTGAGACTAAGCACAATCTACTTAATGATACAGACTGGTGTGTATAAGTCCTCTGTCTCCCTTGTTTACCCCTTCCCTATCATTGTAGCAGGAAGTACTTACACTTTTCCATAGAGAAACTGAATTAGGTGGCCCAAAGTATCTATTTGACCGGTCTATAAACTCTTTCACCAGCGATCTAATAACAGACCACATGTCCTTTGAGGTGCTTGAATTAATATCAAACAATTAACAAAGCATTATTCAGTTTTTTGTTAGGATAATTGTGCTTGAAGTCTGTGTAGTCTGAAAGTCCACAATCCATGTTCTGAAGACAGCCTGTAATGGACATACTTCAAAACTTGGCTTTGTAAGACAAAAAGTTTGCCTGACATAGCTAGGGCCATTGGATTTACTTCATGCAGCAATTTTTATTTTTATTTTTTTATTATTTTGTGTTGTGATAGGCCTCAGAGCACACTTTTTGTTCTGGACATCAGTCCGACAGAATTCTCTCTCATCGTACCTTTTTGAATCTGAATACTAAGTAGATAGTGGTGATGAATAAAACCTATGCTCCCCAAAGTGTGCGTGTATGTTCGCTCCAGTTGGAATCCATGGGAATTGTGGACATATTTTACAAAGGTTACAGCAAAAGATAAATTTGGAGTTTTTTCCCCCCAACTAGTTTAATTTATGCTAAATTTAGATATTATCATTGTAGGCATGTGCTGCAATATGGTTTCTCAGGTTGATAGTGACTTGTTTGGACTTGCAAACCAAGCTGATAAAGCAATAGTTGTTTAACTACACATGAGTATTTTTATGCAGTGTATACTGTATGAACAATTATAGAGGTGATTATAGAAAGACCACGTGTTAAAATCCAGTTTAGGTGTCATCTTATTACATTCTCAGGATTTCTAACTCCAGAAGGGTTTATTAACTCAGGAGCATCATTTTGATTGCATATATGCACCGCTTCCAGACCAGAGCTGTACTGTGCTACACCCAGGTTAATAAGCCCACACAGAACCAGTTCTGGAGTTTACACTTTGGATTAAAGTTGGAGTTGTGCTTACGTGTATCTTTATACTGATACTGAATTTAAATATTGACACTGGAATTAGGAGTGTTACTAGGGCAGATCACAAGTTCATCCAGAAATTATATCTTTTTCAGTGGGCAGTAATGGATGCATAAGAGTAAGGCAAATATTGAACGATGTTTTGGCCAATGTAGAGACTTCTTGACCCGGATGTTGTTACCCACATTTTTTGTTTTTAATAAGCCCTTGATGAACATTGCTTACCCTGAACTTCTGAAGACTTTTTGAACTTACGTATAGTTTTAGTATGAAAAATACTTTCCTGTAGTGAATACTTTTCTTTGATACAAACCAGGTTATAATTTCATAGCATGAGCTGTGAGAGTTAATGTTTTTTTCCTCTTCAGCTTTTCCTAAACGTTTATGATTTTATATATCTCAAAAATACCCGTTTTCTATCTTTCATGCTTTCTCCCATTATGTGTGTTTTCTTCCCACATATGGAAACTGTTTTGCACCTCTGACAATTATTCTTCTTCTTTGTGAATGCCTTTTCTGTTTCTGCTTGAACTGAAGGAGAGGGGATGTTCAAGAACAGAATCCACTGCTCCTTCCTAGAATATCATACTATGTTTTGTTCTTCATCTGTTTCCTAGTAATTCAGAATACTCTGTGGACATTTTCTGCTCTTTGCTGAGGATTGAACTGTCAACAGTGGCTACAACTTCACTGAGTGATGGTAGTCACATTGCAGCGTAATATTTTATGTATGTATTTTGGAATACTTCTCATGTGCATTATTTTGCCCTTATCAAAATCAAATTTACCTTGTCATTTTATCATTCAGTCACTCAGTATTACAGGATTCCCCTGTTAGCTATTGCAGTTTGTGCTGTGATCATTATATATTGCTAGATTTTAAAACTAGTATGAAACTTGCAAGCAAATTGAAGTGTAGAAAGCTGAAATAGTGAATGCAAATCTGTGTGTACGTAAACATAAAGAGAACAGAAACAAGTACAAAGTTCACTATATACTCTGGAGAGTATGTTAAAATTATACATTCCTTTTTCAGAATAACTGAGTGACATTTAAATGACATTTCTTTGTCCTACAGAAATCAAAGAAAAATACCAGAGTAATTTGTAAGCGCTGCAAGACGATGCTGGGAGAAACGGTATCATCAGGTATGGGATGTAGAAACCAAACTAGACTTCACTGCATCAGCCATTGAGCACTGGAGCTTAAAAACTCTGGAGAAGAGTAGTTTATCAGTAAGGTGCAGGGCTGATTCCCATGTGTTTGTCTTTATTCCCTTCTGGAACAGATGAGGTTGTTGCTTCCATTGTTAGACCTTGAAAGTGACTTATGACAGGGATTTTCCTCATCCTTGTTTCTGTTTCATGCTATGATGAGATGGTAAGATTATTGGTTTAAAAGCTGTCATTATATTGAATCGGCAGGGCTTACCTGAAGTAATCTAAAGGTGAGTCTCTGGTGTTTTTCAAAATGCAGTTATTAACAGGAGAGAAGCACAGGTAAGACTGTTACTAGCCGGGTTCGTTCTTTCATTCTCCTTCTACTCCACTGCTGCAGTCAGCGTGAGCCCGGCTCGCACTGGGTCACACAGAGATGCAGAGAATATAAAAACTTATCAGAAAATACAAAGCCTGTTTAAGAAATAAGTCATGAGGGACATAGGACAGTAGGTCTTCTGTTACAGAAGGTTCAGATTGTCCCATACAGGGATCTGAACAGTGCAGACTTTAATAAAACCAAATTTAAGGTAGGATGTTTGAAAGCCCACAATGCAGGTTGTAAGACTTTGGAAAGACGGTGATTGAAAAAGAGCTTTACAAATCAGCGTGAATAATGGAAGTCTTAATCTAAGCCTTCAGACAGTTGTAGCAAGCAGCAGCTGATGTGATCACAGGGTATGGGAAAAGGCAAATACTACGTAGATATGCGGGGAGTTGGTCTGGACTCTGTACGTGGCTGAAGTTAGATAGCATGTCCCTTGTTTTGACCATGTTTCTTCAGTACTGTAGGAACTTTATAGGGCATTCAAAGAGCAGACAAAAAACCTAACCAGAGATGTATGGTATAAGTGTAGACAGGACCATCTCTGTGAAAAGAGAGCAGAGAGCAGACTTGACTGTCATGTTTTGGTGCTTCCTCGTGAGCAGATATCAGTGCCTTGAAGATAAAGCTGGATTAGAGTGGTGTAGCTGTGGAGGCCAGATTTGGCTTTGAAATTACCCTGTTGGCTATTCCTTCCCCCAGTTCTATCCCCATATATTCGTGTGCTTTTTTTTCTGGGGAAATCCCACCTTCTATCTCCCTGCAAGCAAACATCTCCTTAATTCCCAATGCCCTTTCAGCGGTAGCACTGAGCTGTTACTCAAGGTAACAGCTGAGGAGCTGGAGTGACTGAACTGGCTTCTTTCCCTCCTGTCTCCCATGAACTAGGCACAGCGTGGACCAGACTAAAATTAAACTTAGAGGTAAAATATAATTTTCTAACAATGAGGATAATTAAAAAAGTGTAGTACTTATCTGGAGAAGGGGTGGGATTACTAAACATTTGGTAATCAGATTGTCTTTCTGAAATGCTTCCTTTCATCCACTTTTAACAATATGTGTGGACAGAGATCAGATGAAACGATCCCTTCCACCCTTCTGATTTATGAAACTGATGAATCTTTACTGTTTTTCATATGCTAAGGCTTAGTGGAATGAATTTATTACTCTATATGCTTAACCTGTTCTGCTGGCCCTCTGGATAGGCTGTGTTTGTAGCATAGACCCAGAACTTCAATACAATCACCTTTGACCTGACTTCACTGGTGGGGATTAAATTTGATACTCAAACACTTGCATTTAGTGTGAAAGGCTGTCTTAGTGGGGCTTTTTGGGAACAGTTACATTGAAACTCAGAATGTATGCAGTATTAGTGTTGAATTTTGGGGAAGAAGTTCTATTCTGCTCTTTGAGCAAAGATGAAAATTATTCCCCTGTGTGTGCTGTTATTAAAACTGTCTCTTGTGATTCACTGCAGCATTACTGAGCAGCAGAGGGTACTAAAATACTTGTGTAAGCTATGCTGATGTCAGTGCTTTAGGGAAGTTCTTTCAATTCATCTTTCAGGTTTGGCTTGAGCTCTTGCTTGCTTTGTTTCAAGATGATTGTTCCCAGCGTTAAACAAGGATCAATATGAATGACAAATTGGTGGTCATGTAATTAGCTTAAAGTAGTTTTCTCCTGGCAGTGTATGTTTTCTGTTATTGGTTGCTTCTACTCCCACAAACCAAAGCAGAAATTGACCATCTGCTGCACCTCATAATTGAGTGCCAAACAAAAGTTTAATTAGTATAGTGATACGGGGACTTAGTCTTAACAAGTTGGTTGTTCTGTTGTACTTGAAAAATATTTTTGTCATTTCAGATACCATTAAATATTATGTTACTGAGGTGATTATTCGACCATCTGAGGAAAGTTTCAGCCCAACATCAAGGTAACAAATAAAAACTAAAAAAATCAAATAATTTGCTCAGGTTTATGTTTTAGAAAGGATGTTAGAAATGCACTAACATTTTAGTTTCTTGAATAATTACTTATAATAACAAAGAGCTGTCACATTTTATGTAATCATTTACAAACATTGTAAAGGCAATGTAGTCTAAATTCATTCGTACAATTTTGTTTGCTTATCTTTGTGTGTGATTGTGTGTGATGCAGGACAGACATAGTGTATAAATTGTTGCAGTGTCTCACTATTCAGGTGATAAGCCAAAATACATTACATACTTATTTTGAACTATTTAAGTTTGCATGGTGTCTGGAGACTAATTATGGAAATAGAAGGTTACATAATGTACAATTAAATTAAGTAAAGCTCGAAATGTTGAATTGGAAGTGAGATTTTTGAATTTTCAAGTAATTCAGTTTGAAGACTAAGATGAAACAGAACTTGATCTAGCTATCTTGTACCATGTACTGTGCATTAGTCACAGGTCTTTCCTTTTGTGAATTATATTTGAAATGTGTGCATCATTCTGAACTTTGTGTCCATATGTGTAAAATATAACAGGGAAAAGCTTTTATTCAGCATTTGACATTTGGTGTTGGTCCAAACAAAGCATGCGGAGCAATTTAGACTGCTGATCTATTAAAAAATTCCCGTTGCAGGAAATAGAAAGGCCTCTGGTTTTGAGTGAGAGAAAGATAAAGAAGCCCCATCTCAATAACAAGTGATTGTAGAATGTGGTGGAATTGACAGTATGGAGATACTCATGTACTGCATCGATTTGAATGACTTCACCCATGTAGGTGTTATGAAAATATACAATATGTGGTCAATTCTTAAACAGGTCTCAATTTGTACAGAGCATGTTTGCTCAGTGTCTTGTGGAATTGTCCTCTGCTAAAAGCACATTTAGATTCACCGTAAAAGGAGATGATGGAAAAATCTATATTCTGGTAAGTTGGTTTTTTTTTAATCTTTATCCTGCTGAAAAAAGTTTAAACTCTGAATTCCAGCTCCTAAAAGGTATTATTTATGCTGTTCACGATTGTATGTTTAAAGAAAATTAACAAATTCAAATTCTTGTGTTGAAGTAATTCTGCAGAATTCTGTTCAAGTAGGAAATTTCCCCCCATTTTATAATCTAAGTAGATGTGCATGTAGAAATTTTCTGTATTAATACAGTAATGAAAGTACTCCGGATGCACCACAAGTAGTACAGAAATAAGTGTTTTGTATTCAGAAAATATGGCAATCCTAGGGTTTGACTTTATAATATATATCTCGTCTTCTTGCTCCAGTGCTTCTTATCTTTAATCACCAGAAGTTCATCAAATTGTATAGCATCTTTCACACATATTGTCTGAAGTCAGCAGAGGCTACTAATGTAGTCAGTACATTGCATTGCAAAGTGAAGTGCAAACAAAAATAAAATTGCCTATTACACTTAATGTTCTAATGTTGTTAAACTTGGTTAAGCTTGATATTTAAATAGTGACAGCTAAATTCCTCAGACTTTTAAGATGGATAGGAATCTGGGTCTGGAATTACCTTAATACTATACACTTGGTATATCCAGGGATATTTTCTTTTATTCATGAACTAAATATAGGTGCATAAATTGTAATTTTGCACTTTGTACGAGTAATTCATAGACATAAAGATAAAGAAATACACGATTGTAGATTCCTGCCCTGGATAAACTTATAGATGCACTTTGTTGAGGTAGACAATCTAATTAAATAAACTGTTTTATATATGCATTGTCCAAGTTCCGTCATTTCCAAACATCCAGATTCTGAGGTAAGTGTATATCTGTTGCTTTTAAATAAATTTTAGTGCCAAGAGAACATTTATGCAACCACTGAGAAATACTTCGGTGATGATAAAATAAGATCTCATGAGCAGACCCATAATTGTGACTATGTATAAACTAATTGGTGAGTCATTAAAAATTGTTGTGATTTTTTTCCTTGTAGCTTATGTGTTTCCAATTTACCTAGTATTCTGATGGTTAAGTCTAGTAGCTTGCATAGAAAACCGGTTATTTTCTAACAGAAAAATTATCTTATTTAGCAGATTGCCATTACTCAGTTGCATTTTTGCCAATGTATTGATTAGAAGAGTAGGCTGAATTAGCACAGGGGCTGCCTTCTGATTGGCATCCGTTCCTTTTTATTAATGAACTATTAGTATTTTTTTGTGTGTTTAACATCAGAAAGCCCTTACTCATGTCCATGTTCTAGATACTATATACACACCAACACATGTTCCGGAGTCATGGTTTGAGTCTTAGGACTCAGAGGTCTTGTGGAAACAAGTAACCACTGTTTGTATTAATGATTGCAAACAGCTAAGCAGTGAAAAATGTAGGTGCTTGAGGCTGTGAATACACAGCCAAGTTAGACAAGTGGTCTCATCACTGATGCATCATGGACCAGCTGTCCCATTTGTTTGTTTTGACAATGAGCCAGAGATTCTCATTCACAGTGTTTGGGCTTACGTACATGAATGCACACAGCTTAGGCTCCATATGTAATAATTAAGGTTAAGGTATCTCACAAGTCTTTTTCAATTTTTTAAACCACAAATATACTCATTTTTCCTTATTTCCTTTGCATGTATCCCTTAACATTACCAGTTATGTTATTTGCGGATGTCATAATGTGAGTTTCTGTTACTTAAGTTAGTGATAATCAAGTTCCTGAAAGCTATATAGTACTTATGGGGGTTTTGGTTTTTTTTTTTTAAGGCTGACAATAAATAAAAGTCTCTTTGTCTCAAGAAAAAAAATAAGTGGAGTATATGGATTTCCTTACTTATCCCAACTATATCTCTGACATTCTCTAAAAGATGAATCACTTGCCTCCTTTCTTTGCTCCACTGTTGAAGAGTTCCCTACCTTGAAGTTGCATGACTTACAAGCTAAGAATGAGGACAGCAAATAGATAGTGAGATGGGCAAACACAACCAAAATGGTACGTTATTGGTCAGCATAGCCGCATCCTAATACACGTCATTTTTTTCTGTACTATAGAAATGGGTAGGTTTGAAAGAGGTAAATAAGTAGTTTTGTGGATAGATACAGGGATTCATCCCATGCATGGGATCAACCTGATAAAACCCCAAAAGACACATCTGTGAAAATCAAAGGATGTGTGAGAGCTTGGAGTGTTTGAATACTAACTCCAGTCTTCTAGTACTGAATGAAGGCTGGCTTTTGCAGTGGGATTACACTGTAAAGTGCATTCAAAGTAAGGCAGCTTGTATTTCAGGAGGCAAGTGGGAAGATAGCCAAAGAAAATAAATAAGTAACAAAATGGGAGAGATGTGTCAATCAGATACTGATTCTTGAACTGTGTCTTGGAGGGCATGAGCAGAACAAGTTTACATTTCTCAGGGTTGGAGAGGGGGACACTGCAGCAATCAAGATGTGAGATAATGAGCACCTTGTTGATACTTAGCTACCCACCTGTCCTTGAGAGCTTTATTCTTTGTGAAGTATGAGGAATCACAGAATGATAGGGGTTGGAAGGGACCTCCAGAGATCATCTAGTCCAACCCCCCTGCCAGAGCAGGGTCACCGACAGCAGGTTGCACAGGACGGCATCCAGGCGGGTTTTGAATGTCTCCAGAGTGGGAGACTCCACCCCCTCTCTGGGCAGCCTGTTCCAGTGCTCCACTACCCTCAAAGTAAAGAAGTTCCTTCTCATGTTAAGATGGAACTTCCTATGTTCAAGTTTGTGCCCATTACCTCCTGTCCTATCACTGGGCATCACTGAAAAAAGACTGGTCCCATCCTCCTGGCACCCTTCCTTTAAGTATTTATAAACATTGATAAGATCCCCCCTCAGTCTTCTTTTCTCCAGAATAAAAAGACCCAAGTCCCTCAGCCTTTCCTCATATGAGAGATGTTCCAGTCCCCTAATCATGTTTGTAGCCCTTTGCTGGACCCTCTCCAGCAGTTCCCTGTCCTTGAACTGGGGAGCCCAGAACTGGACACAGTACTCCAGATGCAGCCTCACCAGGGCAGAGTAGAGGGGGAGGATGACTTCCCTCTACCTACTGGCCACAATCTTCTTGATGCACCCCAGGGTGCCATTAGCCTTCTTGGCCGCCAGGGCACATTGCTGGCTCATGGTCATGCTGTTGTCCGCCAGGACTCCCAGGTCCCTCTCTGCAGAGCTGCTTTCCAGCAGGTCAACCCCTAACCTGTACTGGTGCATGTGGTTATTTCTCCCTATGTGCTGGACCCTATGCTTGCCCTTCCTGAACTTCATTAGGTTCCTCTCTGCCCAACTCTCCAGCCTGTCCAGGTCATGCTGTATGCCAGCACAGCCTTCCAGCGTGTCGGCCACCACTCCCAGTTTTGTTTCATGAGGAAACTTGCTGATGGTACACTCTATCCCTTCATCCAGGTCATTGATGAATATATTGAAGAGGACTGGACCCAGTACTGACCCCTGGGGAACAGCACGTGTTATTGACCTCCAACTAGACGCTGTGCCACTAATCATAACTCTCTGAGCTCTATCTGTCAGCCATTTTTCAATCCACCCCACTGTCCGTTCATTTAACCGATGCTTACTAAGCTTGCCTGTGAGGATGATGTGGGAGGCAGTGTCAAAAGCCTTGCTGAAGTCAAGGTAGACAACATCCACTGCCCTCCCCTCATCCACCCATCCAGTCACGCCATCATAGAAGGCTATCAGATTAGTCAGACATGACTTCCCTTTGGTGAATCCATGATAAATACTTCTGATAACCTTCTTTTCCTCCAGATGGTTTGAGAGGATGTTCAGAATGAGCTGTTCCATCATCTTTCCAGGGATGGACGTGAGGCTGACTGGTCTGTAGTTTCCCGGGTCATCCTTCTTGCCCTTTCTGAAGACTGGAGTGACATTGGCTATCCTCCAGTCCTTAGGCACCTCGCCTATTCTCCAGGACCTTTCAAAGATGATGGACAGCGGTCCAGCAATGACTTCTGCCAGCTCCCTCAGCACTTGCGGGTGCATCCCATCAGGCCCCATGGACTTGTGGGTATCCAGTTTACTTAATTGATCTCTAACTTGATCCTCTTCAACCAAGGGAAAGTCTGCCTTCTTCCAGACTTTCTCTGTTACCTGCAAAGTGAGGGACTCCCGAGGGTTGGCCTGAGCAGTAAAGACTGAAGCAAAGAAGGCCTTCAGCAATTCTGCCTTCTCTGCATCATCTGTCACCATGGCACCTGTCTTGTTCAACAGCAGTCCCACGTCTTCCCTAGTTTTCCTTTTGCCTCTGATGTATGTGAAGAAGCCCTTCCTGTTGACCTTGACATCCCTTGCCAGATTTAATTCCCAAGGTAGCCTTGGCTTTCCTCATTTCATCCGTGCATACTCTGACAGTATTCTTGTACTCTTCCAAAGTGGTCAGTCCCTTCTTCCACATACAGTAAACTTCCTTCTTTCACTTGAGCTTTTTCAGAAGCTCCCGGCTCTGCCATGCAGGTCTCCTGCTTCCCTTGCTTGATTTCTTGCTCCTAGGGATGCACCGATCCTGAACTTGAAGGGAGTTATACTTAAATATCAACTGGCTCTCTTGAGACCTCTACCCTCTAGAGCCCTCACCCATGGGATTTCTCCAAGCAGTTTCTTGAAGAGATCAAAGTTAGCCCTCCTGAAGTCCAAGGTTGCAATCCTACCTGTTGTTTTATGCATACTACACTTAATCCTGAACTCTGTCTTCTCATGATCACTACAGCCAAGGCTGCCCCCAACCTTAACACCCTCCACCAGTCTTTCTTTCTTTGTCAGTACTCTGGTTCCAGTAGTACAGCTATCCTTGTTGGCATCTCCACCACCTGAGTCAAAAAGTTATCATCAATAACTTGTGGAAGACCACATCTTTATCTGAATGTAAGGACAAAGAAGCTGTAAAGAAAGATGTTTGCATTACTGACCTGTGTGATGATGAGAGTAATGGTAATGTCTGCAATGACTAAGAAAGAATTAGCAAGGAAGAACAACAGCTTCTTTTAGCCATGTTAAATTCGAAATGGTGCCTAATTGTCCACAAATTGATGCTGCAGAGCCAGGTTGAGATTTTAGGAAACTGATCACACAGTATTAATTGCAGTATTTCACCTGTTTGGATCAAGTCTCACAAAGTATAACTGAGATTTGTTGCGGCTTTTCTGCTAAGAGCATCTTTGAAGCCTATTGACAAGGTGATTTAAAAACCAAACCAAACCAAAACCAACAAAAAACCCCACCAACATAACCCCAAACACCCTCTCCTAATGCTGTTGTTTCAGAAAAGGTCATCAATCTGCACTATGAATGAATTCTAAACTTCACCTATTTATCTTTCTGTAAAGGTTCTTTTCTTTCTGGAGTTAATATGGAAGGAATTCGGTTGTGCAGGCTCTGCTGTACAGAGTGGTAGAGAGGAAGGAAAGATTGTACATTGTGAGTAACATAGTTGAAAGCACAGCACAAAATGTGAAACTGTATTAGCTAGGAATAACATGTATCAACTCCTTTGAGTCAACACACTGAGTCTTGGTGAATGATTGTTCATTCCGACTAAAAGCAAGATCAAAAAATAATTCATGCATGAGGAAAAAAAGGGAATTATTGCCTAAAGAAGCAAATGTAGTTCAGAAGTTTATTTTCTCATGGCCAAGTGTACTTCGACCCACAAAGATTCATTTGCTTTCTCTGTATTGTGTGCTAAATTATTAATACAGATCTGTTGCATTGCTGTTGAGACAAAAGTGGTAGAATGTTACTGTCAGATGCCACATACCAGCACTTGTGGTCGAAGGAAGTACTTTTCAGAGGGACCATGTGGCAAATGAAATGGTTTGGTTGTTTTCTCTAAAGCAAGTTGCAGAAGGATTTTGAACGGAGCAGACAGCTATTGCTGCATTGTTCCCTAGGCTAGTTTGAAGGGTATTCATCTTCTGAAAAGCATGCTAGGAGGCTGCTTCACAGGGAAGTGTTAATAATTTCAAAAGGAAGGAACTCTGTTTAGTTAAAGCCAAGCGTGCTAGCAGTGGCCTGTCTGCAGGACACTTCTCTTTTTTTCCGTATTTTCTCCAACACCTTTTAAACACTTGGCTTAAAGCACTGTGTGCAATGGTCCTAGCTAATGAGGTATATTTTGCAGTTTAGGCTATGAATGTGTACAGTGAGTTACCAGAGCAAAACTGATGAACAGCCACTTGCTAAGCCAAGTGCGGTTGCTTGTCATCATTTATGTGCATATGCTAAAGTGATTCTCCTCCCATCCCCTCCCAAGACATCTTTATCAATATAGCTCATTCCTCTTTTATGGAGCTTCCACTGTAATGTTCTGAGCCTTGGGCTCTGATAAATTGTGACTGTCACATTCAATTACGATGTATACTATGTGTCCTGTTAACGGTGGCTTTCTCCCTCCACAGGGGATATCATATGTCTGCTACCTAACATCATGTAACTTGCTTTACTTGAAGCTGATTAGGTCATGAGAAGCAGAAGATTACTCTCTAGTGAGCAGCACTGCTTGAATCCCACTTTCTGTGATAAATATTTCATATATAAACACTTCATACAGGCTCAAGACTTGTAGAAATTGATTTCCATTGGTAACTTGGATCGCTTCACTACTGCAGGCTGTGAATAAAGGAAAAGCCTGACTATTTTGTAGAGTGCTTAGCATGAAGGCCCTGAATTCAAGTTGAAACAGTGATGCACAATCACACAAAGATTAAATAAGATCATAATGTGGTGCAAAAAGTTCAGATTTCTCAAAACTCTCCCCAGGAAATAGCCCATGGGTTGCTGTGAGCAACTAGTGCTGAACAATGCCAGTTCGATTATCAAATTTGATAAAGACTTATTTTCCAAGTAAGGGCCTGTTACGGCCATTTAAATCTCAGCCTTCCTTTTAGACCACATTAATTGCTTTCTTTTGCTTTGCATGTCTTAGCTCCATCCCGTCATAACTATCACGCTTTTTCTAAAAATCCTTAATTTTTGGCACTTCCAGTAAGCAGTCTTTCAGTTCCTTGTCTTTAGCCCTCAGTTGTTCAACAGCATATGCTCAACTAATTCCTAAAAAACTATGAAATTAGAGAAATAATCCATTTGGTATTGAAAAAGGTGGCTTGGGACTGTTTCTTTTGTTACTAACAAAGGAAATGTGCTGCAGCTACAAAAAGAGGCAGCTTCACAGAAATAATGATCTTAAGAGTGACTGTGATAAATCAGGCATCAGTTTGTTGTATTAACCCATTTTTTTCCACTAGAGGCTGTGCAGACTGTACTGAATAATAAAATGTCAATTTATGTCTGTTAACACTTTGTTAGAAACTTTGTAAGATTGTGGCTTTAGAATCAGAGTAAAGGAACAAATTGAAATTGATGTAATCTACAGTAAAATTATTTCTTCATTTATAGATATGGCTTTTAAATTCTGACACATTGCTCGTGGAGTCTTTAGGAAGTTCCTCCTCCCACAGTGTTTTTACACTGTTTGGAGATATTTTCATGCCTAGTTCTGGACCAGTGGGGACCTGGGATGCTGTCAAAGTCCTTTACCAGCCGTGCATTAAAAGCAGGAATAAGGAGTAAGTATACCCTGTTCTGACCTGAGGTTCTGATTGTTGATTTGTTTTGCTTTTCAGGGCAGCAATATTTCTTTGAGGTTCTTTGAATAGTCTATTAGTGTTAGAGGTGTATCTCTGAAATTGCATATAATTTTTTATTTATTTTTTTTTTTAGCGGAATAGTATTTGGTTTCTGTTACAGCCAGAGACAGAATCTGGTGGTTAAATTTTTGCACTGTAATGTTAAAATGTAGACCAAAGTGTTATGTTGTTCCTAGAGGCACATGTAGATAACTTAGGTATATGATACAAATAGAAGTTGTCTTCCTTATGCAGGAGGGTAATATGTTTTCTCATGTATCTGTTTTTTACATGTAGTAGCTCACTCTGCACTTCTAGAGCTTGGTCATTTTTCTGACTCTGTTGGAAGAAGCTGGAAGGATGGTGACACGGTGAATCCCACAGAGGGGCAATGAGTTTTGTCTGTATGGTCTCACAATGTGCTGGTCTGCAGCTGTAGCTGTAGGTGTAATTCGGGGAGAAGGAAAAATTATGGGGAGATAAGGGGCATGGTCTGACACCTGAATATGCATAAGTTTAGCTAGATCTCCCTCTTTGTCTTCAATTTCTGTGTTTTGTGTGAAGATCTAATCTCAGCTGTCAAGTTATTTATGGGAGTAATGCGCTCTGCAATTCCACAGTACAGGATTTGGACCTCTTTGGTACAGCCGAAACCAAGAGGGTAGACGTGGGTAGTTATTAGTTTAGCAAATCATACCTACTTGTTTCAGCTTCAGTCTTGACCTTTTTTGCCTTAAAATTGTGCATTGTTTTGCAAGAGATAGAGCTGTTCACAGGACTGGAATTTGTCTAAGCCAAGTTATCTTCAGTTCTACAGGTGGTGTCTGGTGGGTCGCAGTAAGTTAGTGTAATGATCACGGACAATGTATCTAACAGCGTCACTGTTAAAAGATACTTGTGCATGTAGCCTAGCAGAATAATATGAAGAATGCTGTATCAGTATAGCATACTCTTAGCATATAGGGTGTTCTCAAAAGGAAAGCCCTTTTTAGATATGATTCAGAAGTTCATTGAGTTATCAGATTAGTCCCTATGCGTAACTTGCTTTCAGCCCAGTGGTGGCATTGTTTCAAAAAAGAATAGGCCCTGAGAGACGGGGAAAGAAGAGGTGAGGAAGGTGGTTGAGTACAATAGCACAGAAATGTTTTTCTTGGACATGTCCAAGACTACTGGAGCCCTCATAAAGGAAACATTTGACTCCAGCAAGCTTTGAAGTATACATTATAAAAAACATACACTGCCTAACGTGTTAAAGCCTTTATCAGTTGGAGAGCAAAGATGAGAGAATATTGATTAAGCAGAGCATCCAGTGTTTGCAGGTGATGGAGTGTGATTTTAGCATAATTTTCTGCTTCTGTTTCATCAGTGATAGAAGAGAAAGCATTGGTTTTGTACAAGCTAGACTTAAATAGGGGTTTGGTTTTGTTGTTTTTCCTTTAAACTCTTGGAAATTAGATGACAGATTTAAAGTGGTATGGATGTATTTAAAATTTAGAAGAGATTGCCTCTAGTTGTGGAGTCCCCTTCTCTGGAGATTTTCAAAACCCGCCTGGATGCAGTCCTGAGTAATGTGCTCTGGGCAATCCTGCTTTAGCAGGGGAGTTGGACTGGATGATCTCTAGAGGTCCCTTCCAACTCTGAAAATTCTGTGATTCTGTGACTCAGTCAGTACACAACTAATTTATAGCCCAAAACCTCATAAAAGTACAACAAAAATGTTGTCTCCCACAAAGCAAACGTGTGCTTCCAAATTTAAATATTTTTGTAGGAGAAATATACACCATGCAAAAATGTGTAATTCATCATAGTATTTATCCTGAGTGTTGCCAAGTATATCCTTTTTATTTTTCAAGCAGATCCAATATTGAATAGCTGAAATAAACTCTGACATAGGGAGAGAATGCAAAATTCTAATATTTAGAGAAAAGGTCATACTACATTGTTAATGTTATTCATGTAAGTGAAAAAAATTACCTTTAATGTAGTAGCTTCAGAAGTTGTCATTGGAAAACCTCTGTGATCTAAATGTTATTTAGTGATACAAATTACACCTTAAAGTATTATCATTTAAACTGCTTATTCTTAGAATGGGAGATATTGCAAGAACCGCTGCCTGCTCTAAAATGAAAGACACTTCACTTAGACTTCTGTAAGACTTGAGTGGTAACTTACAGGTTTGCTTTTCAAGTTTCAATTCTTTATCACCGAGAAGATTTAATTACCTTAACACACGTTGAGTTACTTTGACATACTATTGAGATAAAAGTCAGATCTACTTAGTCACTTAGCTAGCATTCACAAATGCTTTTCTTGAATGAAGTTCTCAGCAGCAGAATTTTACTTTGAGTTTTTATTCAGATCTTTCCATTTCCCCAGACAGACTTGTTACAAATCACTTGTTTCTGAAGATTACTTTGTATTTATCTTTGGGATTCTGCAGTGAGCAGAAGCCACAACTGAGGTTTTAATTCTGTTCTGACAGTAATTGACATCTTCCCTGTCCAGTCCCTGGACAAATGCAAAAATGGAAGAGAAAGAACACGAGGTTCTTTTTCAGGTTCAGTAGCCAAAGTAACTAATGGTTTGTAGTATAGTTCTCTCATTTTTATATTTCTGGTAAAGAGCAGTAAAAAAGACATGAGCACTTCAGTCTCTTTCCACTAACTTGTTTATCAGTTGGCTTGAAGTACTGCCTGGATATGTGCAATAAGACTGAAGTCTTTCTGTATTGAATAGGAATGTAAACATAGTGGAAGCAAAAATATCAAAACTAGTACAACTTATTTAATGCAACAGGTTTGCATTTAGATCTCAAATATTATTTCAAGAATTCTGAACAAAGTGTTTGATTTCTTGAACGTGCAAGTTCCAAATGTTTTAGATGCCCACATTCCGATAATAATTATAATACTTACCTTGCTTGTTTCTGCACACACACCTGCCTTTGAAATAACGCAGCCTGTGGTCTGCTCCCTGTGAGTGGGGAGTAAGCAAGGATCCCTCCCGTGTAGGAAGCAGTCAGCAGGAGGTCTGCTTGTGACCTGGAGCCCAACAGTTGCAAGGGATAAGCGTGCCCTCCGATATCCTGTTGGATGCCAGAGAGCCTCTTCAGTTGTTGCAAGTCACTGGGTACACTTGGGTCCTGTCCGATTCCTGCAGTGCCAGAATCTGATCTGTGCGATGGGAGGGGAAGCACCTTTCTTACCTGTGGGCACAGCAGAGTCTGTACTGTGTAGCTGGGCCATAGGTTTAGATGGCTCAAGGTAAACTAGAAATTAAAGCATTTCTTTTTCATATCTAAATATAATAATGTAATCACATATTTGTAAAACATGAGTGAAGAAATGAAAGAAAATCTGTACTCAGTCTACTTACACAAGCATAAATCTACTTACTCAGACAAATACATGGTTCCATGTAGTAGTTGAGGTCTCGGGCTTTGTGAAATCCTGCCCTGGCAACCTCCCTCTGCTAGAGTGAGCCTAACTGTGATTTTCTATTAATTCCCATTCAGGCACCCCATTTTTGAAGTAACCCTTAGGTTCAGATTTCTTGGGATGCGCTTGAATATTTCTCTTGGGTGGAGTGTAGTAGCTTTTATACATGATCTTTCTTTTCAGACTTCTGGGATGTTGGCAGAAATTTACAGGCTCAGTCCAAAGCTCATTTTATTCCTTCTTTATTCAGAGCACAGTTTTGCAATTCTTCGTAATTAACATAATGCTTATTTTTCTTCCTCAGATACTGAAGTGTTTTTTCCCCTTAAACTAGGAATTAAGTCCTGTGACCAACACCATGCTTCAGTGAGCAACAGAACTCTCTCTCTTTCCTCCAGTAAATCACTGGCATATCTGTTGCTGTACCTTACATTAAATATTACTCTAAATGTTAACAAAGCAAAGGAAACAAACATTTAAGTAGGATAAGTTTTAGTCATTCATTACTGGCTGCTGAGTGATACTAGCCACAATGATAATTAACAAATTTGGAGCAATAGCTGTTTGGGGGTAGCTGATCCTGAAGCCCACTGTGACAGTACTGTGTTCTGAGTTAGGCTGAATGTTGCCGAGAAGGTTACTCCTTTTGTGGTGTCCACCTTTTTATCAACAAGATGCTGATTCATGTTCAATTTGTTGATCTGTTTTGACCATCTGATCCTTTCCAGTAAATTGCAGTCTAATAGGCAGCCTTCCTTTCTGTTTTTGTGCAGTTGTCCTTTGTTTAATTACATCCTAATTTTGTTCAGAACCTTTTTCCCTTCTTGGCCTTGGCCATTTTGATTTCCAACATGTGGCATACTGATGGTCCTTCCCAGCTTCGTGTCATCTGTGAATGAAAGAAGCATCTCTCTTGTTCCAGTCTCCGGGAGGATGACTGAGATACAGAATAGGACCAAACTAAGAACATGACATGTGAAGCCTCTCTCCACGTACCTTTGTTTTGGCAATGAATTATTAATGGTCGTGCTCTGGGTATTCTCTGTATGTTAGACTGCATTGCTTAAGAACGTTCAGTAGCTTTTAAGGCATTGTGAAGTTAAGACATGGTTAGGTATATCCAGACATGCTGTTTAAAGCGTAGCTCTTGGCATTTCTCCTTGCAGAGCCCTATTCCTCTGATCTTCCTGAGAGCAGCCTTGAAGCATTGTATTGATTTGTATGTTAGTCCTTCAGCTGTTAACAAGGGCTGGAAACTCTTAGGTGTGTCTCATGTGTGATAGCACGAGTTCTGGGTAGGTCTGGCTACAGTTAGGCTTCCAGCCCTTGCAGGAGCTTTGTAAGTAATCCTTCTATAACAAATTAGTTGAAATTATATACTGTCATTTCTTCTTGTCACCTATGAAAAAAGTATGTTATGAGTGCAGTTGAGTCCCATTAGAGAAGGATGCCTCACGCATTTTCTGCTCTGTTCTTACTTAGATATTTTTTGATGACGTGTAT